GGAGGGCAGCCCTGACCTTGGGTGGAACATTTGGACAGAAAGGGCCATGGAACATGTAATAAAAACCCAAACTCAACACTAGAAATGAGCTGCATCCTGGAGATTCCCAGACTGTGGAGTCATCAGGGGAAGTGTGTCAAGGATGACACAGGCCAAACTCTGCCTGTCCCCTCTACCAGGGGTGAACTAACACTTTGAAAAGGTATCTGATGTACAAGTTTGTTTGAAAGGCTTAAATGTTACAGCATGAACTTTTTCCTTTTCATACGTATTTTAAATTAATGTCTTAGGGGGAAAAAAAAGAATAATCAGTATGAGATGGTCTACAGCACACTAAGTAATTTTGACATGAATGCTTCTCAAGGGGATACACTCTAGGACTTATTTCTACTTTCAGTTTTAAACATATGACAGCCTCAAACTAAAAATTATAGCTTTTGAAATCCTGGCATTGAGAACACACAGATTCTAGTGCATATTTTTAGTGTTACAACTCTAACAACACACACGGAAAACCAGGACACAATGTATTTTTTCAGATACCACACACAGATGCTTTGACCTACACAAGGTGTCTGATAAGCCACATTGTTAAACACACAGACCAAAAGATGTTTAACAAGTGTCAAAAGCATTTCCAGAATGCGATTCCCTGCTGGGAAATCCACCTATAAAATCTGGAAAGGAAGAAGTTCCTGCTGTCTGTCCTGATTCCTGGTAATGCCACCAGCAGTGCACGACCCTGGGACCATGGAACACCCTCAGTCTGCAGCAGAACCACCAGCTCAGGGGCAGAGCAGGGCCAGCTTGTCTCAGACATCCAGACAGGTTTAATTGCCAGCCCAGGAGCAGAGGCACAGCCAGGTGAGGTGAGCTGGGAGCCCTCTGCGGCCTTTAGCAGCACCTACCCAGTCAAGGGAATCTGTGTTGAGGGTGTAGTTGGTGTCCTTCCAGTCAGTTTCTCCAGTGGGCTGGAAGCTGACCTCTCTAATTGTGAAAATATCACTTTCTTCCTCTCCTTCATGTCCAATCTGAGGCAGGAAAACAAATGCAAGACATGCAATTAGTGGGCTTGCTCAGCTAGCTCATCCCCAGGCTGGGAATACCTCAGGAAAAGCCCCAAGGCCAGACAAGCTGTGCCTCTCCCCTCCCACCCTGCCTGTGAGGACAAGCACAGACAGGCACAGAACTCAGGAAATCCTCTAAGCTTGTGCAGCCATGGAAATCAGCAGCCTGAATTTTACAAATATATAAAAACTTCTGTGTGGTTCTAAACACATCTTCCCGTGTCTGTCTCATCTTTGTCAGCCAAGACTGGCTGTTAAACACCTCCTAACATTTACAAAACAAACCACAAATACCAGTGTGAGCAAAAGCTCTAAATTTTATTTTCTCCCCTCCTTTTTTAACGCCTACTTCTCTACTGTAATTCAATAAAGAGCCCAATAAGCAGCTGACCAGAAACACCAGGACAGGATGTGAGGAATGTCATAAACATTTCCTCCCCACTATTCTTGCAAACATAAAGCCTTTTTTTTTTTTGTGATTAAGAAAAATAAAGAACTAAGAGGAGACTGGATACTGTGCTGATTCAGAAAAGCAAGAGATTACAAAGAGCAGTTAAATCCAAGAGGGGCACAGTGATACTCACCTCATCTTCAGGGAAATGGCAGTCAAGCACAAGGGTCTGTTTTGTATCATCTTTTATTACTTCCACAACAAAGTTTGGAGTTGATGTAAGTTCAGGCTAAATAAGAGAACAGTTGCATCAGCTCTGGAATCTGAACAGGAGCCAAAGCAATCACAGCACAGCCCAGCCAGCACTGGGTATTCCCTGACACCTTCCACTATCCCAGGCTGATCCAAGCCCCATCCAGCCTAATCTTGGACACTTCCAGGGATGGGGCAGCCACAGCCTCCCTGTGCCAGGGCCTCCCCACCCTCACAGGGAACAATTTCCCCCAATACCCAATTTAGCCCCACTCCCTGTCAGTTAAAAGCCATCCCCCCTTAATCTGTCACTCCATTCCCTTGTACGAAGTTTCCCTCTCCCACTCTCCTGTAGACCCTTTTGGAAGGTGCTAGAAAGTCTCAGAATTCCTCTAATTTCTCCTTATTTCTCCTCTAATTTCTCCTTATCTCTGCCTTTCTGCAGCAGAGAGGCAAGTCACAGCCAGGGGACAGGCAGCCCTGGAAAATCTGAATTTTGTGACTTAATGCTCCCAAATATCACATAAGGGGGAGAAAAAGCCTCAACACTTGAGGACAAGGCTCCAACTTCCCTAAGGCAAGATTCCAACTTTCATCTGTGTCCCCAACATTAAATGCACATCAAGGCTAAGTTACCTCCTGCTCATCAGGTTTCTGCTGCTCCTGCGTGTCCTCTTCAGCTGAGGGTGGGATGCTGTTATTGATGTTGAATGTAACCGTTATCCTGCACAAGAAACAGAAACAATTCTTTTGAACACACCCAAAAAATGCCCATCAGAACGGGTCTTTTAAGCCCTCCTTCAGAATTCACACAGTGTGAACAAAACCAGGCACTGCAGTTAAAATAAACGCCTGGGAGAAGCTGCCCCCTCCAAGTGCTCCCACCCATGATGAGAAATTTTTTCCTTAACTGTCTTTTATTTCTGTTAAGGGTTTTGAATAAGGGTGCCCCCAATGAGCTGCTCCCTCTGATCTGGGTAGGGTAAAGAACACTGGCCTTTTTTGGTAAAACTCCCACCCATGATGAGGAATTTTTTCCTTAACTGTCTTTTATTTCTGTTAAGGGTTTTGAATAAGGGTGCCCCCAATGAGCTGCTCCCTCTGATCTGGGTAGGGTAAAGAACACTGGCCTGATAATTCCTAAAGTGCATGAGCCCTTCCATTTCTGAGGTAATTCACTGTACACTTTTCTCCCACATATCCAATACACACCATCAGGGGCTTTCCATTTTATTTTTGTATTTCCTGGGTCATTCCAATACCCTCTCAATTCTACCAGGGACTGGTAAGGGTTAACTCCAGAGCCTTTATTCCAGCAAAGTTCAATTCTGTCACTCCATTCACAGTTTGTTTCTTTTTCCTAACTCCAGCACCTGGCAGGAGGTTCTGGTTGCCAGATCCTGCTCTTATCATTCGAGTTTTACTGAACTGTTATTTTTAAAACAGGAAGACCATGTGAAACTTTGTAACACAAAACACAGTAACAAACTGGTGTGAAAAAAGTGCCTTTGGCCCCAAAGTGGTCACAAAAAAGAGCCTCTGCAGGGTGCAGTCTGGGCTGTGAGCACATGGAGAAACCTGGTCACTGTGACCCAGCCACCCTCCCTCGGGTGCTGGGGACCCTTCCCGGACCCCACTCACTTTTCCCCCGCGATCTTCCGCACCAGCTTGGCCTCCGTGCCATGGACCTCCAGCTCCCACCCTCCGGAGACCTTGGGCAGGGACTTGTGCTTCTGGATCTTCTTCTCCTCCTGGATCTCGTCCGTCAGGAACTGCGCAAAGGCTTTGTCCCCTGGCGGGAAAGAAAATGGGGTTAGGGAAAGGGAAGGTTATAGAGAGGGGGGAATGAAGGAAAGGAGTGAGGGGGTGAGCTCAGGGAAAGGGGTTGGTAAGAGATGTTGGAAACGGGGTTAGGGAAATGGGGGTTAGGAAAAGGGGGATTTAGGGAAAGGGAGGGTAAGGAAAGAGGGGAGTAAGAAAAGGGAGGGTTAAGGAAAAGGGGAGTGGGATTAAGGGAAGGGCGGGTAGAAAAAGGGAGTTTGGGAAAAGAAAGGGAGTTAGGGAACGGGGGGTTGGGGAAAAAGGAGTTGGGAAAAAGGAGGTTAGGGAAGGGTCAGTAGGGAAAAAGGAGGTAGCGAAGGGGGTGTAGAGGAAAAGCGGGCTTAGGCGATGACGGCATTTAGGGAAATAGGTGGTTTAGGGAAAAGCGGGATTAGGGGGAGTTCCTTAGGAAAGAAGGGCAGTAGGGAAAGCCCCGCCGCCCCACGTGCTTCCCAGCATGGAGGGGGTGCAGAGCACGTGTCCGCCCCGCGCCCTCCCAAGGGCGGCCCCGCTCCGTCCCCGCTCACCCTCGGTGTGCAGACCGCCGCAGCCGCAGGACACGCGGCCGGCCGAGCCCCGCCGCGGCCGCAGCAGCGCCGTCCGCCCCGCGCCGCCGCCCAGCTGCCACAGCGAGCG